GGGACAGCGTGATGTGCCTGCCGGTGAAAAGGCAGCGCCCCAAGTGCCTCGGAGGAGTCTTAGCCCTAGAGCACGCAGGAGAAACGGACTTAGGGCACATCGAAACTACGATTTCAGTTTCTTTTTTTTTCAATTTTTTTTTTGAGAGATTTTCACTGTAGGGCGCGTGCGCTCGCCAGACAGACAGAGAGAGACATAGAGACAGAAAGCGAGAAATCACCCCCCATGGGGGATGGTCACGCCGCAATCTCTTCTCCTCCATTCTCCTCTCGGGATCTTGGGCACGCACGCACACGCGCCCGGCGTGAGTTTTAAGCCACCGGGTCCGGGACACGAACCGCGGTCGACTACGTGGGAGTCCAGCGACATAGCCATTACGCTAACTGCTGGTTCCCTGATTTCAGTTTTTTTAAAAAATCGCCCATAACCCGTGCTTGCAAAGTGTGCGCCTGTGGTTATCCAACCGCTTGGTACACTGCATTCGCGTTCTGGAGACGGGAGGGCCTAGCTAGGGCAAGACCCGCTGGTGAGGTTACATTTAATGGGAACCTGGAAAGATGAGCAGAAATTCTGGGGGAAAGCAACCGGGCGAGTTATGAAAGCATAGCTTTTCTTGCCCGGTCAGGCGGCCGAAGCCACAGGGCGACCAGTTGGCCCCAAGCGAGAGTAAAGAGATGTAGACCCAGCGGAGACCTCGGGACAGGTGCTAAGGGGTGCTACCCCAGCAGCTGAGAACCCACCTAAGGAGTTCCTGAAATACTACACCTCAAAGCAGGCCTCTCCCTATTTAGGGAGAGGTTCCAGAACCTTGCTGGGACCCCAGGTCCAGGGTGCTCAAGTCCCCTATGTAAACCAGCTGGGCACATAAAACCTACACACATTCCCGCATACACTTTAATTTTGAGATTATAGAACAATACAGTGTGAATGCGAAGTAAATAGTTGTTGTACTGTATTTTAAAAATGTATATGTTTACATTGTTATTTTTAACTTTCACTCTAATTTTGGTGCATGGGTTGAGTTTGTGGACATGGAACTGCGTGTCAATTTTATATCAAGAGTGGATGGGTGCAGGGAAGACAGACCCCCGGGAGCCACAGAGATGGCAGTTCACCTCAATCTGGGCTCTTCTCTGCATTTGCTGGGTGTTGGTGGGGCAGAGCAGGAGATCAGAAAGCTTTCTTGGTGGTGAAGACCTGGAGGCTCCTGTCCGGATCCTTCGTGCAACAAAACCTGAAGACCACTGAGGATGGGCAGCAAATCATGTCACATTCCACCCGGTTGAAACCCTATTGCAGGCCACCTGGTGGCATGGCGGATAGGGCGGCTGGATCCCACTTGGCCTACCGTCCCATTTGCATCCTGGACCCAGCAGCTTGAAAAACACTAAGCCCGTTGTATGTGCATGCCCAAAATTCTGAGGAAAATGGAGGCGAAGGGACTGTGGTGTGGCCACCCACCCCTGGGTTGTGCCTTTTTTATTTTCTGTCTGTCTCTCTTCTCTGGTGAGCTCATGTGTCCTGTAGCAAAACTTCAAAAAAAGAAAAAAAAAACTTACCACTAGAGGCCCAGCAGAAAGACAGAAGGGCTAGTGGTCTGGCAGGCTTCATGGAGGAGTGTCTCTCCTGCACTCTCTCCCTCCATCTCTCTCTCCCCTCTTTCTCTTTCTGGGAAATGCATGAGCCCTCTGGCAAATAGTTAAAAAAAACAAACACCCTGATTATTCATTGAAACTATTGAAAGCCAATGATGAACTCTCTGGGGCAGCAGGTGGAGATGTGGGCAGCCTAAGGAGGAACAGCTGGAGGTGGGAGTGCAGGGAATATTTGGAGGACAGGAAATGGCCATCAGAACTGTGGCCAAGGGTGTGGGGGGAGCAGTGTGGAAAAAGCTGGTACCCACATTAAGTAGGCCTTGAAAGCCAAAGAAGGAGGAGTCTGTGTTTGAGGTGGGAGAGATGGGCTCTCCCTGAGCCTTGAGTTTTGGAAAATTCTGTTGAATTGCTTTTTCTACATCTATTGAAACGATTATGTAATTTTCTTAATTTGTTCTGTGTCTATCCAGATTTGCATTAGTTTTCAAATGTTAAACCAACTTCGTTTGCATTCCTGGGGTAAAACCCCTCACTTCTGACATTAGGCTTTCCTTTTTCCCTTTTTAACATTATTGTTCATTTCCTTCACAGAGAGCAGTGGGTCTTCACACTCTGATGCCCCGCCCCCCAGCCTCTCAGCCAGCCCGGATCACAGGAGTGATGCGGGAAGCCAGCTGGCACCTTTGTTGTGGCCACCAGCGCTGTGTAGCTACCTCTACTCCTGTGCCGCTGTGGCTTCTCACATATGACTCAATTCTATGTGCTAATATTTTCTTAAAGATTTTTGGATTTCTGTCTATGAAGGATACTGGCTGTAGCGTTTCCTGTAGTAGTTTTGTTTGGTTACTGGTATTGTGATAGGCAGTTAGCTAGAAATGAACAGGCAGCCCTAAGAAAATAGCAGAAGGACACCTGCCACATCAACCACAACTTACTAGGAGTTACAAGGAGACATCTGTAGAGACTTTATTAACGTTTGAGAGGTTGACCCTTAGATGTTTCTCTCTCATCTCAGGCTCTGCCAGAAAGTAAACTCAGTTTTTAAGCAAACTTGAATACCCTTAGCAAGTAGAGGGATGCTGAGAGCTTGAATGTTCTATATTTTAACCCTGTAATGGTATTAGTAGGTGACCACAGATTTTTATAGTGAAAAGCCTGGAAAGTTTAAAAGAACAGATTAAAATAGTTTAAAAAAACAAACACACACACACGGTTTAGGGCCGGCAGAGGGTGTGGTGGTTAAGGGCACTAGACTCCTACGTGGCCAACTGTGGTTTGAGTCCTGGACCTGGAGGCTTGCTTTCTCACTTTCCCTCTCTCTCTCACTCTGTCCCTCTCTGGTCCAATTAAAACAAAGAAATAAAGTTAAATATAAAATAATTATAAAATAAAAGGAAGTGGTTTGTCATAGCATGCCATAGAATTTTTAGTTTTATTTAGTTATGTGTAGGCCAGGCATCCCTTGTTTCCAACTTCTTTTGCAGCCAAGCATATCACAGGAAACTGAGCCTCCACCTCTTGTAACAGTATGAGGGTCAAACATTCCCAGTGAGAGGATGTGCCCCAGTGGGGAGTCTGTCAGAATGGAAGACTGATTTTCCATCTAGAAGGAGAGAAGAAAGAAACAGGAATGGAATGTAGAGGCCAGAGGCATCCCTACAGAGCCACAGAGCCGGTCCAGGTAACAAGCCTCCAGTGGGTTGTGCCTCCAGTGGGCTGTGCTAACCGACTGGAGTGAAAGAGAATGGAAGGATGTCTTCCCCTCAAGCCCCAGAATTAGCACGCCCATATCCGGGGCCGGTGAGCCTCTAAGCATCCTGTTCCAAAAGCCTGGGACCATTTGGTAGCTTCCCAGAGTTCCTCCGAGAGCGTCACCAGGAGCTGGGTGGGAGAATGGTCTCTACAGATGGTCTCCTTGTAACTCTGACAAGTCGTGATTAGCGTGGCAGGTGTCCTGCTCTTTTCTTAGGCCGCCTGCTCATTCCGAGCTAACTGCCCATCCCAGTATCGGGGTGTAACTGGTGTCTTTGGTCTCTGTGAGTAATGGCCTTATGACATCACTGCGCAAAAGCTCTTTCTCCTCTGGTTTGGTTTTTCTGCTAGAGACCATGTGTGTTTGTCAAAGAGGGACAGAGAGAAAAACCTCGCCGTTAGGGATGGTCACGCAGCAATCCCTTCTCATTTTTCCTTTCAGGAGTTTTGGGAAGCTGCTGGGTCCAGGATCTGACCTGCGCAGCCACAGTGTGGCATCCAGTCATCTTAATCAACAAGTCACCAGATGACCCGCATGACTGGTTTTATTTTTTTTAATTTTTAGAGAGATTTTTTGCTGTAGGGTGTGTGTGCTCACTGAAGAGAAAGAGAGACAGAGAGACAAAAAGTGAGAAGTCACCCTCCGGGGGGATAGTCACAGCTGCAGTCCCTTCTCCAGTTTCCTCTTGGGATTTTGGGCACGCACACACACACAACCCTCGCATGAGTTTCAAGCTGCCTGGTCCAGGGCTCAAACCACAGTCGACTACATGGGAGTCCAGCAACTAACCGTTACACCATCTGCTGGTCCCCAAGTGACTGATTTTAAACTTTTATTTTTTGTTCTAATAGGGCGCTTGCACTCACTGCAGAGACAGACAGACACCAGGAGACTGGCCACACTTTTTCTAACGAGCACTTACTGCTATGGGTCTCCCTGTGCTGGCTAAGTCGGCCGTGTCCTGCACAGTTCAGAATGTTGTCGTCTTAGTTTTTGTTTTGTTTGAGATCCCTTCCGATCTCACTTGTGATTTCTTATTTGAACTATGGTTTCTTTAGAAGCATGTTTAATTTCCAGATGTTTGCAGATTTTCCAGGTGCCTTTCTATTGCCGACTTCTAATTGGATTATTCTGGGCTGGAGCTCATACTTTATGACTTCCGTCTTTAAAGTTGGAGGATGGCTTTATGGCCCAGCGTGCAGTGGATTTGGGGGGTAGCTTCTGTGCATGTGGAAACAGCAGGCTTCCCTCTACTCTGCAGGTCCTGTCGGGGGGCCTGGCACGCCGAGGGGGAGCAGTACGCAGCGGGCAGCGGCGGCCTGGGCCACGGTGGGTCTCAGCTCTGCAGTGACGGCCCTGTCTCTTGGTCTCACAGATGGCACTGGAGGCCGAGCGCCATGCCCTGGGTGTGTTTGAATGCCAGCTCTGTGCCTTGACGGCGCCGTACAGCTACAAGGGCCAGAAGCCCCCCAACACGCAGTCTGTCGTGTGAGTACACGTTTTTGGAGCCAGTGCCCAGGAAGCGTGTGCCAGAGCTGCCTGGTTCTGGCATATGGCTGGGGCCTTGTGCTTTCACCCATCCCGGCCTGGGCTCTGGACACTTTGGTCATGAGGGAGGCCGGGCAAGGCTCGAGGGCCCTCCTACTCTCCCACAGCACCAAGCCAGATTCTCCGCATTCAGCCCAGATTTCAGCACCTGATCCAGCAAGGGGGTTGCACCACTGTGGCCTGGGCCACAGTAGCCCTGCAGCTGGAAACAAAGCAGCCGCGGTGGTCCCTCCCGTGGGCCTGTCCTGCTTGCTGTTCCTGCTGGTGATGGTGTAGCGGGATGCTGTCCTCCCTGCAGTGCATACGCTGGTGGGAGTGAGTCCTGAGGCCCAGCTGCCCTGAATCTGCCAGGGGCCTGGACTAGAGCAAGGGGTCCTAGGTTTGGTTTGTCTCTCTTTGTTTTTAAGTTTATTTATTTATCTCTCCATGAGTGAGACACAGAGAGAGAGAGACAACACCCCCAACAGGGTCTTGATGCCACAGTCCACACCCAGCCACAGCCATCGTGCTTCGCGTGTACTCAGGGAGGCCTCCAGGCACAAACCTGGAACCTTCCCACGTGTCAGTCTGGCAGAGCTCCGCGCTCTCCTGAGGTCAGTCTGTTGACCTTCAGCCTGTCTTCCGTCAAAGGCGGTTGCTGGAAGGCTGGCCAGCGTGCTGCTCACGCGGGACACTGGGGCAATGGCAGGCTGCTTCCCTCTGCTGCCCTGGAGCCTGGTGTGGGTCCGCCCTGTGGTCTGATCCTGATGCCCAGTGGGGTGCAGCCTGCCCACAGGGCTGCGTGGTGGGTGAGGTGCCGGTCCTTCCTGTGGGGAAGGAAGGGAGTGGGGTGGAAGGGAGACCTCGCAGCCCCACCCCAGTGAGTCAGGTTAGGTCTGGCAGCCCCCCACTTCTCTCCCCTGCGGCTGGTCTGGTTTTGGGTAGAGCATGGCCTTCCCATCATTACCCTGCAGCATGGCTGGATACCCGGGAGGCCCTGTGGATGTGTCACCCAGAGATGTCCATGCTGCCGTTGCATGGCCAGCACTGCTGTGGCGGTGTCCCCTGACTGCTGGCGTTCCCTGTGCAGGCTCCTGGAGGACAGCTACGTCATGAAGGACCCCTTTACCCCGGACAAGGACGGGTTCCTGGTCCTCGGCTCGCGGTGCAGTTTGTGCAGCAGGCTGGTGTGTGTGGGCCCGGTGGGTAAGCCGCGTGGGGCAGCCTGCCATGCCGTGGTGCCCCTCAGAGCCCTCCCCGTCACTAGGCAGGGGGCGGGAGAGTCTTTAGAGGCCAGCTGGCCCACTCCCTCACACTGGGGCCTTGCCCTGACCAGGGTCTCAGTCTGGAGGTTCAGCCCTAACCCACATGGTCCCCCACCATTGCCAGCATCACTTCCGGCCTCTGCTGCTTCCATGGACAGGGACCTTCTGGAAGTTTCTGGAGGAACTTCCCAGAGGAAGGAACTGCCCTTTCTTGCATTTACTGTACACAAGGCCCTGTGTCTAGGCCCATCCTGTCCGCCGGTGAGGCACACCTGTTCCGTAGGTGAGGGAACAGGTTCGCCTGGATGGCCGCACGCTCTCTTTGAAAACTCACAGTTGATGGTGTCATAGCTGTTCCTCAGGGTGTGGCCATGTAACCAGAGTGGCCCTAGAGTCACTTTGACTAACTGGTAGTTATTGGCAAGTGAGTCTGTGGGCCGAGGAGCTCTTCGAAGAACTGCAGTATCAGCAGCCACGTATTAGTGCTCTGAGCTGCTGGGCCAAAGCAGAGGGGCCTAAATAAAGCCGAAACGTACTTGTTCTTTTCCATCAGAGTCCAGACAGGCGCCCTGCCTACGAGGCACCACTGCCCTCTGCGTGTAACGTCCACTGGGTCTGCTGCGGCTGTCGGCCCTGCCTATGAGGCACCACTGCCCTCTGCGCGTAACGTCCACTGGGTCTGCTGCGGCTGTCGCAGCTCCTGCTATCACATCTGCATCCCAGTGGGATGGGACAAGGGAGCCCATGTCCATTCCTTCAAAGGATCTGGGGGACACATAGCTGATGGCATCCTGACCAGACTTAGTCATGTCGCTGTCTCCAGTGGCGGAGGGGCTGGGGTGAGGCACCACTGCCCTCTGCGCGTAACGTCCACTGGGTCTGCTGCGGCTGTCGCAGCTCCTGCTATCACATCTGCATCCCAGTGGGATGGGACAAGGGAGCCCATGTCCATTCCTTCAAAGGATCTGGGGGACACATAGCTGATGGCATCCTGACCAGACTTAGTCATGTCGCTGTCTCCAGTGGCGGAGGGGCTGGGGAATGTCATTCTTAGCTGGGTGTAGGGTACCAGGATCTCAGGCCTTCTGGTGTTAAAGGTCATTGTCAAGAAGGACATGGTGGGCCGGTTGTGTGTCCTACCCACAATCGCCACTTGTCCACAGCCTCTCGGGTCTGCAGGGTGCCCCTCCCGTCCCTTGCTGCTCCAGCACCTGTCCGACTGTGCTAAGGGGAGCCGGAGGGACTCCAGCAGTTCCCGCTCTCTGGGTGTGGCCCATCCTATGGCTTCCCAGTGTTACTTCACCTGGAGGGAGCCGGGCAGGTCCTGGCAGTCCCCGCCTGGAGAGGCCAGCCGTACCATCCGGATGCCGTGCCAGGCCCTTGTGCCCCAGCCCTCTCTCTTGCTGGCCTGGCTCTGGGCACCCTGTTCTCCGTGTGTAGCAGAGGGCTGGCTGGCGTCGGGGAGAGGCATGTGCCTGGACACTTGGCCCCTGCTCTTCTCTAGGAATGCAGCCTGTTCTACTCCAGGAGGCTCTGCCTCCCTTGTGTCCAGGAGAACATCAGTGCTTTTCCCCGGGAAATCCGGCAGGACTTGGAGAAGAGGAAAGCGCCATCCAAGAGGCCCTCCAGCCAGCCCAGTTCTCGCACGTGAGCGTGGCCCGGGCCGGCCTGGGGTGTGGGTGCCACTGGATGGGGAGCCCCTGTAGCTGGCCTTGCTTCGGGATGGACTGCAGCTGCAGCCTCTGCATCCCGAGGGCGTGGTTCCACCTGCAGTAGCAGCACAGGAAGCTGAGCCGGACAGCGGGTGCAGGCCAGACACGCGGGGCCACTGGCGGGCCTCCCAGCACTCCCATGGGGCTGCACCATCGGCGGGACGGTTCACCCAGAGGCCACTGTCAGTGCACGGCAGATGGCTGTGACGTCCCTGAGGACAGTCATGGGCAGCCCTGCCCGAGGGACCAGGCTGGGAGTCTGCGGGGGTGGGAGTCTCATCCTCGTGCCATGCTCGGGAAGTGTTTTTAGTCTTGACCATGTATTATGTTTATAATTTAAACCCTGACAACCAGCTAATGTTTGAAGCGATGCCTCCACTGAGACCCTTGGAGACCCATATTCTCTGCGTGGGCACTGGGGTGGCTGTGGGTAGGGTCTCCTAGGCACTGTGCTTGGGATTCTGGGCTTTTCAGTTTCCTCGGACTCTGGCTCACCTCTGGTGTGGACTTCTGTCACCCACACCCACCCCAAGGCCGTTGGACTGCTCGCTTCCCCTCGCCATCTTGAAGCCCACTCCGACAGCCTGCCCAGTGTCCCCGTGGCATGACACCCC